TGTGCATTGATAATGCGTAAACGCATCAGTAACTTGATGTTATAAAACGCATTGTTGTGTATGATTTGATGAGTGAACAGTAAATGCATATAAGTCGAAGTTCATCTGTTCCTTTTATCCTAAGAGGGTAAAAGCGATATCTTGGCCCCTCGATGATATGGTTTGGCTTATGTGTCGGGCCCAGTTAGGACTGAATTGATGTGTTCAATTAATTTCTATGTCAGACGAATCAGAGATCGAGAAACAAACTGATGGACAATAAGTATGACTATGTTCCATGTATTTGTCTGCACGATATCTAGAATGGCGGATTATACGATCCCTTATCTAAAGGACAGGTTACTGATAAGACCAGAGTTCGACAATGTCTTTGAGAGCTACGATTGCTAATCGGATCCTAAAGTCGTACTTGCATTTATAGTTACTAGACTTATCCAAGTGGGAGACTGTTGGATTAGTGTCTAAGCCCGTAACTATATTTGGTATGTACTTGACCCGATTGTGCATGGTCCTTTTGGGTTGCCTTCACCAAAGCAACTGGACATGATGATTTATGGAGAGAGAGAGAGAGAGAGTTATTATGGTTTATTAATATATTATATGAATAATATATTAAAAGAGAAATCATACAGTTTAATTAATATTGGTCAAGAATTATTTGAGAATTAATTCTATGACTGAAAGAGATTAATTAAATAAGGGGGACCGGAACTGTCAATTATAAGATAATTGATTTTGGGCTGTGAATCCTTATGGACATAAGGGGGGACGAAATTTAGAGTAAGCCCACTCTAATTTCGTCCAAGGGGCCTTATTCCAGAAGGTTCTTGAAGCTGCTTAGGGCCTAAGTTATCCAATTAGGGTTTTGACTGAAACCTAGCAGCTCAGCTATTTAAGGACCCCTAGGGCTACAGATTTCGGCCACTTGAGAAACCCTAGTGTTACTATAGCTGAAATTGTGCCTCCTCCTCCCTCTCTTCTAGATCATCTTCTTGCTTTGGTGTTTGTGAGCCATTAGAGGTATTACACTTGTGATACTAAGCTCTTGAAGATTGAAGATTCTTGCAACTATTGAAAGGTATCATCTAAACTTGTTTTATTATAGATCTCGTTTTCATAGTATGCTAGATTAGGGTTTGCAAGATTTGGATAAATTTGCATGTACAATAGAGAAACCTAGATCCAAAGCTTTAGGGTTTTGCATGTGCACATAAGATGTTCTTTTCCTCAAAACCCATCAGTTACAATACTATACAAATACCATTTTACGGTCTTAGGGTTTTAAGACTACAACACTTTTACCAACAGAAAATATCGGATTTTCTGGGAAACTTACATTATACATTACCTTCTACTTACAACAGAAAATAAAGGATGTTTCTTGAATACTCTCTTTATATATTTTCAAAAGACAAAACACACATGCTTTAATACAAGATTTGATACAAAACGTTCAAACCATTTTTACAGAAAATATCGGATTTTCTGGTGTTTACAAAGTGATACAAACTTTTCATAGAAATATGCTTATGAACTCACCAACATTATATATGTTGACCATTTTCAAAATAACTTGTATTCTCAGGAAATCGTTAAGCGGGTTGGTCTTCAAGAACTCATGGATTTTGTTGTATATTTGTTATCATCATACACTTATATTTTTGGGAATGTAATTTGTAATCCAACACACTGATGTAAACAATGACGGTTGTATTATTGTATATGTGATGATGATTTTGTCTTGATTCAATTATTTACACTGTGATGATATTACAAGATGAAGTCACCCAACCCCCGAACGTTTCCGCCGTTCCGGTTCGGGGGTGTGACATAGAGGATGTGGTGTGGGCAAGGAAAAGTGATGTTATTGTTGAGGTGACACCTCATAACACGGTCATAACACGAGGAACATCACCCCTTTTCTCGTTAAGGGGGTGTTAAAGCACAACTCGTAGTAACGAAGACGAGCAATAACAAGAAATGTGATTGGCTTTTATTTTTTTTTACTATTGAATGTGAATGATTTTAAAAAAGAATAATAATAATAATAAGTGTGTGTTATAACATGCACACCATTTCCTACCATGGTGTTATAACATCATGGATCATGGATGATGTGGCATCTGTGTGAAAGAGAGAGAGTTGACTAAGACCTCAAGGTCTATATATAATTATATTAAATATAAAGGTCTATATATAATTATATTAAATATATGTTGAATATATACATATAACACATCAACAATAGTTGCCACTTGCAATATCAACTCTCTCAAATACTTCAACATTATAATTCTTCGGAAATTTTAGCCCTAATTCCTGTTTTTGATTGATCATAATGTCTCTCGTAGAGAAGTTCCGAAACATCAAAATACAACTTACAACTATCAGATCAGCAACCAACAACTTTGCTCAAGAAAACTACATTGGAGGACGCGGGAACTTGTACAAGGGAGAACTTGTCCATTCGGAGGGGCATACCATGGTTGCTATAAAATGTTTAAATTATAGAGTAGATACTGAGTTTTGGAAACAAGTTATTATGCTTTGCTCCTGCAAGCATGATAATATTCTCTTCCTCTTGGGTTTTTGTGCTGAGAGTGACCAAAATATCCTCGTATATGAGTATGTATCCAAGGGAGGCCTTGACTTGTATCTCACAAGCAACGAACTAACATGGGCTCGACGCCTTCACATATGCTTTGGGGCAGCTCGCGGACTAGCATATCTGCATCAAGAAAGATTGTTGCACCGTGATGTTAATAGTGGCAACATCTTATTAGATGAAAACTGGAATGCCAAGATCGCAGATTTGGATCTATCCATGTTTGGTGCTAATAATGAACAACACCTTATGTTCAATAATTTTTTAGGGACGATGATGTATCGTGATCCACAATATTTTGCATCTGCTCTACTAACAAGGGAGTAAGACGTTTACTCATTCGGCGTGGTGTTATTTGAGGTCTTTTGTGGTAGGTTGTGTATTGACAACAACAATAAGCCTCAGTCTTTTACCAAAATGGTACAAGAGTATTTCGAGAAGAACAAGATAAACGAAATAATGTATGTTGATATAAAGGATGAAATAACTCCTGGTTCCTTAGGAGTGTTTACTAGGATTGCTTATCAATGTTTAAATAGAGATCCTAAAAAACGTCCATCAATGAACGAGATCGTGAGAAGACTTGAAACTGCACTCGCATATCAAGTAAGTTGTTGCTTTCCTTTCTATTCATCCATTCCTAATATAATCATGCTAATCTTTTTCTTCATTATAATTAATTTTAAGAAAATTAGAAAGATGTGTTGGTAAAAGAACTTAATCTATATCACACAAAAACTAAAAAGGAATACATTTCAGTCTGTCAGGGTTATATGGTTAGTGATAGTGACAATAAAATTGTCAATAGCTTAATTCTTCAGTCTCTCCAATTCTAATATCTAGAAAACTTTTATTTTTTCCTTCACAATTGTAGAAGGCGAGAAACACATCGTCCCCTTTCATGAAGGAGTTTGAGCACCTGAGAATTCCACTTGAATTGATAAACCAAGCCACCAACTTCTTTGATGTTGAAAACTTCATTGCAAAAGGTGGATTTGGGGAGGTATATAGAGGAGAATTCTCCAAATCAAATAGTAAAATACGTGCTGTAAAGCGTTTGAATGGTCAAGCTGATGTTTCATTTGGGAGAGAGATTACGTTTCTTTCCACTTATAAACATAAAAATCTCATCCAACTCCTCGGATTCTGTGATGAGTGTGAGGAAAAGATCATTGTTTACAAGTATGCTTCTAATAAAAGCCTTGATTTTCATCTACATGACCCCAACTTCACGTGGATTCAACATCTCAAGATTTGTCTCGGGGCTGCATGTGGCTTGCAGTATCTTCATGATCCCAAGGGGACAAAACAAAGACTCCTGCATCGCGATATTAAAAGTGGCAACATCTTGTTGGACGAAAACTGGAATGCCAAAGTTGCAGATTTTGGTTTATCCAAATATGGTCCAGCCAATCAAGAACACTCCCTTCTTTTCTCTGATCCCAAAGGCACTCTTGGGTATTGTGACCCCATCTATATAGAGACTGGATTATTGACAAAAGAATCAGACGTCTACTCTTTTGGCGTAGTGCTGTTTGAAGTTTTGTGCTCAAGGCTTTGTGTTGATTTGAGTTATAAAGATGAACGCCGATCTCTACCCATACTTGTAAAGAGGTGCTATCGAGAACAAACACTAGATACGATTATCAATGTTAATCTAAGGCTACAAATCGAAGATAATTGTTTCGAGACATTTGTAAAACTTGCTTATCAGTGTTTGGAAAGAGACCCAAAACATCGCCCGTCTATGGATTTTGTTGTGAGCAAAGCTTCAAACTGCACTCGAATACCAAGTATGTTCTATTACTCTTACTTATATCAGTAATTTTTTTCGCAGGAAAAAAACAAACCGATACAAATAATATAATGGTTGGAAACAACTATCTAACTCAAATTATTGATGATCTTGTAACTCGCTTTTGGTTGGTGTTCTTAGGAAGGAAGAAATGTGAACTTGGCATCATCCTCTACCCTGAATGATATCCCAAAACCAGATAAAAATGGCGAGTGGGTCTGACTGACAACAAAAAGATAACTGATACGAATGTCATAAAAGAAGTTCATGCCGTCTATATCATTCTTCTGATAACTGATAAAGTGATAATTGAGTTATTGGTGTAGTCTTCTCATAAAGTTGAGCAACACAATAAGTGTTTCTTATAAAACTAGCAATTTCTTTTATCATATTCAATAATGAACTTATTTTTTATGATATTTTATTTAGTTAATAGAATCAATAAAATGTTTTGATAATTTACTTCTCTTTTTTATTATTACATCATCATCATCATCATCCGTACCCAGTGTTTACTCACATTTTGACAAAATTATAAACATCTTGAGAATAAACACACACACACACACACACGTGTTTGTTTTGATGATTACACAAAATCTACAAATGGTTCTTGAGAATTTTGAAGCAAATCTTGATCATTAGAACTGGTGGAAAGGGAGTTTCCTGATTTCATTGCCAATTATTTGTATATTCAATGTAAACGAATACAGATCAAGAACTTAGTTCAAGTTCGTAGCACTAAATATATGTCATGTTGCACAAATAACCACAATCATTTTTTTATACATCCTCTCAGGTGTAAGCAAAAAATATTCCTAATAAAATATCCCATTTTTCCTTTTCAACCAATCAAATTAATCCCCATAAAGAAAACACATAAAAAGAGATCAATCAAGAAGCTACCCCAAGAAAATGAGCAAAGCTTTTGTATGTAGGCTCCCATCCTAACTCCTCCCTTGTCTTTGAGTTGTCCAATTTCTTACCCAAAGGACCATCTGTGCCTATACAACCAAACATCACACATCATGTTTTCAGACAAAAAGGGTAAAATGGTCATTTACTTACAATATGGGTTAACTGAGTCCAAAGAAGAAACAATCTTTGTCCAGACAATCATCATTTATGGAACAAGGGAAGTCCTAGCATTTTTACAAAATTGCCATTATTTTTTGGGGCAAATTGTGGGAATAGCAATGTAGTTTGCTCTTTTTATCAATATGGTCATTGTATTTATTAATTATTAAAAAAAAAACAACTCAATCTTCTACATGCCCTTTTATGTTATTTTACATATTTCAACTAGCTTTACCAAACGTCAGTAGTTTTTATCAGTTAGCAGTTAGCTTTTCATCTATCAGCTAAACTTACCAGTAAAGCCCACAAACGTTGGATCAAATTTCCCACTCTTAGCAACCAAGTCCATCACTTGTTGTCTAAACAAAATCAAATTTTATCATGTTAAAGATGGATTCCATCATTCGATGTATGAATATGGAAACTTGATTAAAAGTTAATAAACCAAAACCTTGAAACAGGATGATTGTCACACCCCAAAAATAGCCGACTGCGTAATTTCTTTTTTAGAATTGCAACCGAGAGAGAGGCGGCATCCTGTATCATACAAACGACTTCAATTTCTTTTTTTATAACTCATTGTACTTTGTGAAATCTACCCAATTATAGCATTGTATTTTCATTTGTTTTTCTTATTAGGATATTATACTTTTTATGCGGATGACATTGCTATAATCCGATAGATTTTTCTATGTATTATGTTGTAAGGGTTTTATACAGAAAAGTCCTACTGTTTGGGAAATTTTTTGATAAAGTCCTAATTTTTTTTTTAACAGAAAAGTCCCGATTATTTAATTTTACACGATAATCTGTCGTTTCCTTTTAAAATAAGAAGGGTTTTATGCAGAGAAGTCTCATTATTTTGGGAAATTTTTTGACAAAGTCCTAATCATTTTTTTAACAGAAAAGTCCCGATTATTTAACATTTTGCCCAAATTAACGAAAAAGTCTTTTTTTATATTTTAACATGAAATGACAGATTATGTGATTTTCCCAAAATAATGGGACTTTTCTGCTAAAAAAAACATTTAGGACTTTATCAAAAAATTTCCAAAATAATGAGACTTTTCTGCATAAAACCCAAAATAAAAATAAGTATTTTTTCGTTAATTTGCACAAAATATTAAATAATTGGGACTATTCTGCTTAAAAAAAATATATAAAAAGTAGGACTTTATAAAAAAAATTCCCAAAATAATTGGACTTTTCTGCATAAAACCCAAAATAAAAATAAGTATTTTTTTTGTTTTTGGGCAAAATATTAAACAATCGGGACTTTTCTGTTAAAAAAAATTATGACTTTATCAAAAAATTTCCCAAAATAATCGGACTTTTCTGCATAAAACCCAAAATACAAATAAGTATTTTTTTCGTTAATTTGGGCAAATTATTAAATAACCGGGACTTTTCTGTTAAAAAAAATTATGACTTTATCAAAAAATTTCCCAAAATAATGGGACTTTTATGCATAAAACCCTATGTTGTAATAAGAAGAAATAAAGGTGAGAGGAACCTCATAATGGATGAGATTGACAAGGTGATGAGGATTAGCTTCAATGGTTCCTTGTTTTAAGTAATACAAATGCATTCCTCTATCTGCTTTGTGCTAAAGGAGTTAAGATTAAGTTTTACAGATTCATAAATGCATTTTGGAAAAAAAAAAAAAAAAATTAAATGCTACAAACAGCAATGTACTTTCATTTCTTCCTATTACAACATTTTTACTTTGAAAAATCTACCAATTATAGCAATGTCAAGTTGTCAACCAAATACAAAACAATTTTTCCTGCTATAATTAGATAGATTTTTCAAAGTACAATGCTTTAATAAGAAAAAAAAAGTATTTTAAAGATACGATGATATCTGAGAAAGAAATGAAAGTAGGATGCTATATATAATACACGAATAAATGAAAGTAAATTGTTACTTTTTAGCAAAAGGATATGTAAAGTCCAGCCAACCTAACAACACAACCACCAGCATCTAAAACAATCTTCTCTGCTTTCAAAAGAACATCTGTCCTTGGACTCCTCCCTATTGGTACTACTGGACTATCCTATATAAAAAAAAAACATCAAGAAAGTTATTAATCAATTAAAATATTTTTATATGAAAATATAAAATTAAAAAAAATAAGAGAAGTAAAGTAAGCACCTCATAGCATTGTCCATTATCGTATCTATCATATGGTGCTGAGCTTGAAGTAAACAAGAAAGAACCTTCTCCATTCCAAAGTGATGCAGCTTCCCTGTTTTGTTTAACATCCAAGTTTTTAGTAATTTTCAATACTTTGATCATAAACAAAAAGGAAATGTTACAATTGATACGGATATTGAAGGGGTAAAGTTGTCATTCATTACCCAACATCACTAGCATAGTCTGAGCTTCTAGAAGGTGGGGCACAAAAGATCACATAAGGAAACTTATTCTCCCATTTAACTCCCTTCAATGTTGGATTGATCCCAATTTTAATAAGCTCTTCATGGTGATCAGTAGTAACTGTCTCTCCAGTGATTTGGCATCCTGGGTGTTCCTGTCATCAGAATCTAACGTTTAGGATGGGGAGGGCATTTACGTCTTTTAACAGACAATGAAATGTTACATAGTTTTGGGTGAGAGAAAGGATTTCAATTTTTGTCCCATTGACATCAGTCCCAAAGAACGCCAAGTTTCTTAAACAATTTGAGATTTTAATCAACATAGAAAAATGTGAAAAAGAGAAGCAACAAGTATAGTATGATCTATGCTAGATTGTATAGTAAATTTTAACATTTCTTGATCTCATTCTCACCTCCCGCCATTTTTCTGCAACTAGGCGACCAAGAACACCTGGTCCAACAATAAGCAAATCATTTGCTCCAACAGAGGTAGAAGATGAAGTATCTAGTTCTTCACTTGCAGCACCTACATGATCATCAAGTTTGTTTATGGAAGTTGAAGTGTGAGCATCAAAAGTAAAATTATAAGTGAAAGATTAGTAGACTTGCACATACACGATAGCTAGGAGATAAGCTGATAAGTGGATACAATTCAGTAAAATGGGATAAGGTACAACAAACCCTAAGGTTTTAATCGGTGTATTTGACGCAAAAATTCAATGTGTGTTTAGACCTACTGATCATGGAATCGGATTCTTTTGAAGAGTTGGTCTCACCACAGGAATCTCAATTACAGAAATTGATCATCACATTGCAAAGAAATTACCTAACAATTTCACAACGATGAGGTATATTACACTGAAATGTGCGTACGACAATTCTAATCAAATTATCATTGCATCTCTTCATCAATCATAAATCCACGAAGCTACAGCGAGATAGAAAGATTTGCTACTAAATAGATAGAACAATAACAATAGAGAGAGAGAGAGAGAGAGTATATGACGTACCAGTGGAAGAGGAAGCCATGACATGGAGAGTAGAGGAAGCCATCGATGATGATGATAAAGAAAAGATGTGTTTGAAGGTGAAATTCCGATTGGGGTTCGTAGAGAAGGAGATTGATGTATTAAGGGTTCTGGTCCGTGATAAAGAGGGTTTAATGCGAGCGACTGCGGTGAAGGCTGCCGGAGATATACAAACAGTTGATCCCATTTGTTGGTTGGTGTTTGGTTTGGATTAGGAAGATATGGTGGCTTGCACGCTTCCTTTGATGTTGGCACTTGGCAGATACAGGATTCTCGGGTCGGATTCTTGGGTTACCCATTTGTCCCCTACTCCCTCTTTAAGCCTTTTTTTTTTAATACATTTAGAAGATTTTTGTGTTAAGTTATTTCCTAAATTTTGAAAAATTGGTCAATAATATTGTTTGAGTGATCCAAGTTGAATTCCTCTTAGGATCTACTTATTACACACCAGGTTAATTGTAAAAAGTAGTAATATTTTAATCATGTCAATGTTCAAACATTCAACATCCTTCCTAATAAATAAAAATAATTTTGTTATATTATTTTTTCATTAACTTGGACACATTTTGAATAAATGTTTTTTTCCATTTGTCATTTTTTCATTTTTTTTTATCTTTTCTTAATTAACACAACATATTTACACCTCAATTAATAATTGCCTTAATTGAAAATAACCAATAAATTACAATATTAATACTCATAAATTATTGTTTAAACTTTCATATTTAATTTTTTGTTTTATCAAACTCGTATAACATATGAGTCTCACACCTAGTTATATATGAAATTTTACATCTCAATTATTAGATTCATCCACTTGGAAAAGTAATTATATATTTTGAGGTAGTATGGTAGTATAAAAAACTTAGTCACAGCAACCTGACGGTTGAAGTGTAAAATTTTGCATAAAAGGTCTATGGTTCGAGTCTTTGGCATGTCCAAACCGAGTCATTTTTTCAAACTTTAACCAAATGAACATGAAATCACAAAAGGCTTAGTTTGACATTATGACATAAACCACACCAAACCATGTTCTTTCTCCTTGCTTTGACTAAGGGTGACAAATTGAATAGTCGTGTCTTGGTTTTAGCTGACACAATACGATGTTGTGTTTTCTTTTGCTAATACGGAAACAACTCAATTAAAACATAATAAAAACAACCAACAACACAAATGTGATAAATATAAAATAAAATAAACATTCAGTTTATTTTATTCAATACTCTTACGAAACACGACAAACGTGGGAAACATGATGAACACAACATCCACATGTTAATATCGTATTAATTATGTGTTGAATCTTGAACTCAAACATAAATTTTAATTTCAATATCGTCTTAATTTCATTTCATATCATATATTTTTATTGTGTGATGCTCACTTCCGTTTACAAGCTATTATTTTGCATTAAAGGAGCTACTCGTTACCTCATTCTAATCCCATTATGTGATATGGGTGGTTGATGTTGTTATTTTAAAGTTATAAACGTATTGTTATAAAATATACTCAAAATAACCGTGATATATTAATTTATTTTCATTTTTCAACTAGCAATCAGTGGTGTACTATGTTCGTACGTATTCATATAGGACCAAAAAGGTTATCGACATCGTGTCATCGTTACTGCCAAAAGACCCCACGTCCCCACACCCTTTGCTTCGTAATCTGAAAAAGATAAAACAAAACCCCTAGCAAACACCACCAAACTCCTTGTAAAACCCAAAAAACAAAACCCTAAATCATAGTTTTACAACCACTACTCTCCAAAATTGTATCTTTTTATCTTCTCCGATTTACCTTATTTTCCATTTCGAAGCTCATGGAAGAAGATTCAATAGAAGAGGCCCCATTCCCACCCCCGAAGATTTATATTTCGAGTTCATTACCAGGTTCTTCTGTACCCATTAGAGCTCCCCTTACTATTGATTCAGATTCTGAGTTCTATTTATCCAATAACGATCAGATTTACTCACGAACTAGCAGCTTTAATAGCACTAGCAGTATTGATATCAGTAGTTATGGCGATGAGCATACCACTGTTCATGACGAAGAATATGAAACTTTTGTAGCGTACTCAGATGAAGAAATTTCGATAGAAACTTGTCGTGTTAAAGAATATTCATTTACGACCCCTTTCGTGAAATACCCAGATGGAAATCATCTTAGCGAGCGTAGTAATTTTGAAGAATCCGCCATTTTTAGGCCGCTTGTGAAAACCCCATGTGAAGAAAGTAGCAGTGTTGCTGATCTTCGTATCAATTTGGGTGTGCCTGTTGCACCTCTTACCAGAGACTGTGACAGCGACATTGATTCCGTGGAAAGTGGCCGGTGGTTTGATTCAGGCGAGATTCCGGCTGATGGGATTGCTCAGAAGGTTACTATGTCCCCTAAAGTTCGAACCTTTAGGGGTGATGAAGAGGAGGATGAAGTAGATAAAGAGTCGCAGTTTGAAGGTATGTTTTCTGATGATAGTATCAATAGTATCCATGGATTAATCACTGCCATGAAGGATTCTATTTTAGTAGAATCAATTGAAGAGGAGGAACATAAAGTTGATTGCTTGAATGTGGTTGATTCACAGAGAATTGATGCAGACATTCTCTCAAATTCAGTAAATGAAATTGAAATCGAAGATTCACAGAGAATTGATGCAGAGATTCTCCCAAATTCAGAAAACGAAACTGAAATTGAAGATTCACAGAGAATCGATGCAGAGATTCTCCCAAATTCAGAAACTGAAATTGAAATTGAAGATTCACAGAGAATCGATGCAGAGATTCTCTCAAATTCAGAAAATGAAACTGAAATCAAAACCATTAGCGATCACAGAACTGAATCCAAGAAAGCCCTAAGTGAAAAGGAAGAAGAAACAGAGGTAGTAATCCAACCGATAAAATCAAAGTTACTAAATCTCATTCATCTTCTTGGTTTATCAAAACAAGATTCAACTTTTCTCCACAGACTTACCCTCAGAAACACCAAGTTTGACTCAAATTTGACCATTTTAGTCATAGGAAAAACCGGAGTAGGCAAAACAGCAACTATAAACTCCATTTTTGGAGAAACCAAAGCCACAACAGATCCATTCAATCCATGTACATCTTCTGTTCAAGAAATACTTGGCAACATAGATGACATTCATCTCAAAATCATTGACACACCAGGTTTTAGATGTTCCCCTTATGAAAGATCTTATAACCTAAAAATTCTCTCAAACATAAAAAGATTCATTCAAGAACACTCCCCAGATGTTGTGCTTTATGTTGATAGGTTAGACATGTACACAATAGACCATAATGATTCACATCTATTAAGGCTAATTACAAGCTCACTTGGGTCTTCAGTGTGGAGAAATTGTATCATTTCCCTTACTCATGCGTGTTCTAATGATCATGAATCCATGGGTGAATTCTTGTTGCAAAGATGTCGGTTTATACAACAAGAAATTGTTAGATTTGGAGGTAGTGATCGGGGTATGGGTAATCCAGTGTGGCTTGTTGAGAATCACATGGGTTATAAGCATGATAGAAGTTGGAGAAATCGGCTTGTTGGAAAGGGTAATGAGTGGAATTGTGTTATGCCATTTGAGATTGTGGAAAATCGGATTAAGAAAGGTTTTATTGAAGGAGATGGTTATTGTTTGAAGGTTTTTGGAATGAAACATTGGTCTTTTGTATGTCGATTGTATTCTTAGTTTTTATTAATGACAAAATTAGCAATTGATTTGTAGGTAGAGTATGTGTCATGAAGTGTTAGGTAGAGTGGATTGTAAATCGTGTAGTGTGTTCGAAAAATGATATGAATTAATGCAAGTGTTATTTGTTTTTTTTTTTTATTACTAAGTTTATACTTTTGTACATCTAATTACGTATTTCATCAAAACAAAGAACCCATAAAGCAAAACTTCAAATGAAACAAACTTTAAAATACAAATCGATCGAAGCATTCTTGTTGGAGAAATCGATAGAAGCGTTCGAGAAATAAGAAAAACCATAAAGCATTATTGATCGAAGTCAAGAAACACACAATTTTTTTTTGAAGCATTGTGGCTGGCTTTAGAACTTATCAAAGATAATTCATTTTAGAGTAAACTGCACAAATGGTCCTTGTGGTTTGCTCAAAATTATCATTTTGGTCAAAAAAAAGGTTTGGACTAGCACCACAGGTTTAAAATTTTCATTTTGTTGCGAGTTTGGTCTAAAATTTTTAATTTTTTTTAAAGACAGATTTGCCCTTGGTATTTTGCATTCCCCAAGAACAACAACAGTTCAAAAAAGCATTCATTCATGAAAGAAACATTGTGAACACCATTAACGTCAGCCATGACACAAGCAAACATTATTCAAAAACATGTATTTTCGAAGGCGGGAGGAATGACGTAAGGCATGACAAAAGAAAGAATTATTAAAGAAGAAGACATTATTGAAGATAACGATGCATTATAGACGGCAATAATTCTATTTTGTCTTTTATAATCATGTAAAGTATCGATAAGTGTGTAGCATTATTATAATGTGACATAAAGTCTTATGTAAAGTAGTTTGTCTTCTTGCAATCATACAATTGCAATAATGTAAAGATACCGTGTGTAAACGGCTCTTCGGAGCCTATATAAAGGGCTTTGCCCATAGTGAATAAAGCAGAGTGATTTGTGATTATAAGATTTGAGTTGTTCTCAATCTTCTTCTGTTGAAATAGCTCGTCTATTTCTGAATAGCAGAACCCTATCCAAACATATCCATATATTCATATAAACATATCAAACCCAGACAATCAATCCATCGTCAATCCATTCCGACGCATCATTCAGGTATATTCTGTCTTAATTTCATTAATTCTGCCATGTTTTTCAATTTGGTATCAGAGCATGTTTTTGATACCAAATTTTTATAAACATGCTCTGATACAAAATTTTTATAAACATGCTCTGATACCAAATTGAAAAACATGGCGGAATTAATAAAATTAAGATAGAATATACCTGAATGATGCGTCGGAATGGATTGACGATGGATGGATTGTCTGGGTTTGATATGTTTATATGAATATATGGATATGTTTGGATAGGGTTCTGCTATTCAGAAATAGAAAATCTATTTCAACAGAAGAAGATTGAGAACAACTCAAATCTTAAACACTCAATTTTAGCTTGTTTATTCCATATGGCAAAGGCCCTATTTATAGGCTCAAGAGAGCCGGTTACATTTGAGTTGCAATCGTTTGATTGCAATACGACATACATATTTACAAT